CCACCTGCGGTGAGAAGAGTAAAGATTGTAGGAAATGAAGTAGGGTGGGAGGAAAAGAGAGAGAGAGAGAGAGAGAGAGAGAGAGAGAGAGAGAGAGAGAGAGAGAGAGAGAGAGAGAGAGAGAGAGAGAGAGAGAGGGAAAGAGTGTTGGAGAAATTGAATGTTGGGCACAAAATCAGAAATAGAGATATACACAAAAAGAAAAAAAAAAGAAAGAATAACTTTACAACATGATTTGTTGTGTTAGTTTGATTAATTGTTCCCATTCTCTTTCTCTCTCTCTCTCTCTCTCTTAAAAAAAAATTCAATGAAGAAAAAAAGAAAAAAGGATGAAAAAAGCGGACGTCAGAAATACAAAACAGTTTGTCACAGCCCGTCGTTTGTTGTCCTCTTGTTCCTCTTTGCCCACGGTTTACAAAGCAGCTCCGTTTGAGGATATATATATATATATATATATCACAAATCGTACTTGTTTACCGATGGAGCAGGAAAAAGAAGAAGAAGAAAAAAAAAGACTAAGACAGTCGATTTCATGGGTATGTTGTTTTTTATATGCCGTCTCGACCTCTGCTCGCCTCCTTTCCCTCCCTCTGCTCCGCTCCCTCCCCTCTCCACTTCTCCCTTCCGACCTATTCTTCCCTCTCTTTCCTTCTCCCTATATCATCCCAACGACTTCTCTCCCCCCACTATCTCTCCCTGATCCCGACCTCCCCCTTTTCTGTCCGCATCTCCGACCGCGACTTCCCGGTCCCGACCCCCTATCCCGACCTCTCCCTCTCTTCCCTTGCTCCCCCGATCTTGCCCCGACCTCTCCCTCTTCTGTTCGCGTCTCCTATCCCTACCCCCTGGTTCCGACCTCCCCACTCAATCCCGACATCTCCCTCACCTCCCGTCCTAACCTCCCATCCCATGCCTAGACTCCTCCTCCCTTCTGCTCTATCCCGACTCCGATCCCATCCCGACGTCATCCTGACTTCTTCCCCCCTCCCCCTCCCCCCTCCCCCC